GGGGGGGGGGGGGGGGGGGGGGGGGGGGGGGGGGGGGGGGGGGGGGGGGGGGGGGGGCTCACAAATACCGCCATTAACAACTAAACTTGATGTGGCGACGGCACAAACCGAGGACAATCGACACCCCACGGCCACCAACAACACCAACATCAGGAGACGGAGAACACGAAGGGCAATCATTGTAAGTGCTTGCCTTAAGCTGGAAGCCGAGCCTCATGGAACTCCTCGCCACCGCGAGCTCGCTCTTGGACATCTGCCGCACGAGCCAAAGTCATCCAATCAAAAGGGCGTTGCGTTGCAGTCGTAAACAAATAGTAAAGGGGCGCGGGAAGGGACTAACAGCGGCGAGGGTCAAAAGAAACCAACAGCAAGGTAGCATTGTTTGATATCATGCTGAGTCGGCAAGCAGCTGCCGGTTTTCACTGAAAATAACCCCACCTGAACCAAGCAACAACAGGTCGCGGAGACATGAGGGGGGGAGGGGGGGTTCGCGTTGTGTGCCGCGACCGTTTCGACGAAAAAGTCAAACAAAATCGTGCGATAATAAGTAATATGCACAATGAACAGAAAATACATCATCCAAGCGCACGATTGGTGTCACGAAAAAAAAAACGTTCGTCTCGCCAAAATGGACACAACAAGCTTCTCCTATTCAAATCATCATCTACGTACACCAAAAAAGAAAACGCAGGAAACATTAACATGAGCGTATGTTTTTTTTGCACTTACAGGCACGAGGCAGCAAAAAAAAAGGAAGATACCCTCAAGTCACCTATTTGGGGGCGCGGGAGATTCTCGGCCAACAAGGAGAAACTGCATGGCGAATGACACCAGCACAGCCGCAGACTTGAGCTGAGCCGCCGCTGCTTTTCGACAGCTAAATCTAAAAGCTTGCAAACCTTTCACCGTTCAGATTTCAACGCATTCCCTTCGACTGTGATCTTACCTCCAACGGGTAGTGGCCTTTCTGTCATGGTACGCATGCCCTGCGACTGCTGTAGCTACATCTCGAACTGGTACTCTATTAATTGCATGTATACAAACGTCTTAAATTCACTGTCAAGACTTGAACACATTCCATTCGACTTGCATGGTTTCATCTCGAACGGGTAGTCTTTCTCTGTTTGCATATATGTCGAATACTGTCTAAAAAACACACACCTTCGTGGCGAGGCACAGGAGCTTGGTTGAGTCCGGGCTGAAGAAGAAGGCCATGATCACTCGATCCAGAGGGATCTCTACCTGTTCCCCATGTTACAGGGGCGGCAAGGAGGCAGCGAAAAAAGCAGGGGCCACTATCATCAGTCGTCATCGCTTCCTTGGTCACTGAAAACCATGTTTCCATGAAGCACACGACATGGCCAAAACCTGTATGCACAACAATAGAGAAAAAAGTGATTGTCTACAAAGGTTTGATTTCGGCTTCCACGAAAGCTATGCAGTCGTGGGTTCGGAGACCAAGGCTGAACATGTGCTCTCAACTGCCTCATCACGCATGCATATATGTACGTACCTGTTCCATCGTTGCCGTGCTGAGGGGGTCCAGAGCTCCCTCTCCCCCTTCCAAGACGCTGATGGTGTAGAAACCCGTCGTCATGTCTTGCTGCATCAGGCACAGCCTCTGCCCGTCGGGAGAAACGCCAAACGTGCTGAAACCCCTCGTCTGCGTGTCATCATCATCATCATCATCATCATCATCGGAGAGGTGAAAACGTGTACTTCACATCAGAGTCGGACAAGAACGGGCCAGTGGGTGATGAGAGGCGTTGTTGTCGACGACAGTAACGGGTATTGATTGCATGATGCGCTTGGTGTGTCGAGCCCGGCCGCCAAAAAAACGAAACCTTTTCTTTCAACTTCGTCGCTCCGCCAACAACCCTGAAGTGGTGTTCCATGACGGAGCCCCTCCCTCCCCCACCAAAAAACACACGACCACCAACAGACACGTACGGCTGCTGTACATGGTACCACAGATTTGTGCCACATTTCTCTTGTGTCGTTTGTTGAGGTTCGCTGGTCTCTTCGAGTGAGTCGATCGGTTAAACACCCCACTGGCAGCCAGCCAGCCATGGGCCAGCTGCCGGGTCCCACCGCCTGCTTCTACTTCCATCTTGCGTCACTCCTTGGACGACACCGCCATGCTCCCGTGATAGCCCACTCCAGAAAGGTGAAAGCATGGTGGATCCCTTGCAACACACACTACAGCTTACCGGACAGATCCTCTTCTTGGCCGAGCCGTCCACCCTCGCCGACACCAAGTGCTGCCCGCTCTCATCCCCGTCCGTCTCGACGAGGATAACGGCGTCCTCCCCGCCCTCGCAGTGGGTACTTGGGGCCATGAACAGCTGCGCCGCCCGGGTGGAAATGTCCACCTCGTCTCCCGTGGTCATGTCCAGGTGGTAAACCCTGCAATCGCAGTTTGGGGGCCATGCAGGCGGCCCGGGGCGGGGGGGGGGGGCGGGGG